TGATAAGATCTTAGTGATTTCCCTGGGTTTTCACTAAGCCTCTTAACATTCCAACTTCATCTTTTAGTTGATTCTCTTATGTGAGTGTTTGTATTGAAGATTGAAGGCCTATTAAAGATAAGAAGTGCATTGAGGAGTGATGAAGATGAAGCTTGTGCTTGTCAAAGCTGGTTAACTGTGAAATTAGGGTTTTTGCTGCTGACTGAAGCTGTCTGTTTACTGGAGACAGTGTTTGCCAAAGCCCCGGTGTTACGTATCAGAGCATCCCTACGACTCGCCACAAACCAAGCTAGCTACACACCTGGATTATCTATACTTCCGAAGAAGCACAGACCACAACAAAAGCAAAGGGGTGAAAAATCACGATCAAAATATAACGGTAATGATGTACATGAATAAAAGGCAGTAAATCACACAATTATCATTCACATACATTAACCCGGACCTAATGTCCCACACCAACATAGCTTATAAAACAATGCAACACATGTAACTCAACCCATGATATGCGGTACCGACTCAACAATAGCAACGATGGGCACCGGGCCATCACCCTTCCCGAAGGAACACATTATCATCACCGATGGGCACCAGGCCATCACCCTCCACACAGGAGCACATCAAAAATAGGATAGATCACTTACGCTCCCCTGAGTCAGGATCTATCCCTCACAATCACCGATGGGCACCAGGCCATCACCCTCCACACAGGAGCACAATATCACTACCGATGGGCACCAAACCATCACCCTCCACACAGGAGCACATCAAGACACCATGCTATGCATAACCCCAATGCACAACACATAACAACAGATATACGAAGCGTACACAATTTCACTGATCACATTCATCACACGTCATTTATATATATATATATATATATATATATATATATATATATATATATATATATATATATATATATATATATATATATATATATATATATATATATATATATATATATATATATATATATATATATATATATATATATATATATATATATATATATATATATATATATATATATATATATATATATATATATATATATATATATATATATATATATATATATATATATATATATCACGTCACCCCATTCATACGCATTCACACGCATCGAATTCAATCATTCAAATTAAACAACATCAAGGAAATCATATTCCACACCACACATATACCCTCCACAGCTCACCAGCAATCATGTAATCAACCATGACCAACAAGGGTCCAACAAATACGAGAGAACCGAACAGCACAGCTCAAAAGCACAACATTATGTCACGCTCGCTGGCACATTCGCCTGGCGAAGCCCCGCAGCGAATGCTCGCTGAAGCTCACCCGGCGAAACCCCTGGCAAAGCCAGACAGTGGCTACTGGCAGCACTCGCTGCTCAGTTCGCCTGGCGAAGGCTAGCCCCCTCATTTTCCCAGCGAATACCCGCAATTTCAGAAAAATAATACCACTGCTCAGAGTCGGCAAAACGCTCTGAACTCAGCCGATTCTATTCCAAACCAAACCCCATCATACTAGACCATTATTCTACAGCATAACTACATCATCTATCCTTGATTAAACCCGATTAAATGTCAGCTCTACATGCTTACTCAGTTTCAGCATAAACTTCGAACTACCCGGAAACCCCCAAATTAATCAAACATCTACATGCAATGGATGAATCATCTCAGCAACAATCAAAATCACAACAACCTATCAATAAAATTCATCACAACCTAGTGGGGTTAAGGGAAATCCCCTTCTACCTATTACTCATGTATTACCGAAATTAATCGATTCTCCCCCCCTTACCTCAAATGCAACTCTGCTCGAAGAAACTTCAAGAATTCCACAGCCAAGTTCCTCTTGCTTCTTCCTCCAACCAACTATCTCTTTGCTATCTCAAACGAGTTCTTCTTGATCGTTCTTCCTCTTCTTCCCTTCTACCGTGCTTCTCTTCTCATGCGTGCTCTTTCTCTCTATTTCTTTTTCAATTTCCACAATTGCCCCTAATACCCCAAAAATCCTCTTTTTAATTCCAATAATTCCAAAATTAATATTAAAACCTCATAATATCAATATTAATAATAATACTAATATCAACATTAATATTAATTATTAATTATTTTCATTATCGATATATAATATTAATATTATACTCCTTATTTCCTCAACAACTTTCCACACAAGGCATGCCGATAATAAAATAACACGGGAAAACTTAAATAATTAAATTGGGCGTTACACCCGGTGCCCACGAGGTCATATTCACCTGAACAACAGAAGGAAATGGTGAATTTGACGTTTCAAGATAAAATTCACCCTTCCACCACAAATCAAGTGAAAGGGCGATGGGGACGACGACCACAACTCGACGGCGGCCCGTGTCCCTGCGACGTCCATCTCCACCCAAGCGTTCTTCCCCAGGGCATTCATCCAATCCCATTCAACGTCCCTAGGGCATTTATCTGACCCTATCCTACGTCCCCGGGGTGTTCATCTAAACACTATGCTACGTCCTCGGGATACCCCTCCATATCATGTCAACCGACCTTAGAACATTCATCCTAAAGCCCTAAGTGTCCTCAGGGCCTTCATCCCAAGTAAAAGGGTATCCCGCCGTATTCATCGGAAAACCCTCGCTCTCCTTGAGGCATTCATCATGTCCCCGACAATGGCGTCAAAATTAAAGAAAACAGAGAAATGGATGTAGAAAACTTACTGGATCGATGGAGACGGCAAAATACGCGACGGATTTGACGGTGGCGGTGATGAGCAACTGCGTGTACGGAAATCCGAGTATCACGTGCGAAAGCAAGAGAATGCAAAAAGTGGTAAAGGGGAAGACACCTACCTATTTATAAACCCAGCACGAGACTCGAAGCGCCCCTAGGCACTCGAGTACCCTAGGGCAGCCGTCCAAAGTGGCCCATTGATTGTTAGACACGTGGCCACCGCGAACGGTCACGTCCCTTTGTTCTCCCCCGCGAGAACGGGCAAGCGAGGACGTGCCAACCTTTCCCCTCCTCGACCTGATAGCCCGACAAGTCCAAGATCCTCGCGCTCCCGCATCCTCGACACGGTAGTCCGACAAAGTTTCCTCCTCGTGCCTTCTTCCTCCCCGACACAGTTATCGTCAAGTCATCGCTCCTTTACTTTGGAGCTACGACTTGGGGGGCTCCTGTTCTGGACTGGGCCCAGACCTGCCCATCCGTCGGGCAGGCCCAACCCAACGCTATTTGGGGAAGGCCCAAATTTCCCCATGTCGGGCACAGTTCCAGACACACCGGGCAGGCACCCTCCCCCTGTCGGGCAGAACAACACGTCTTCCACACGTTCTCCACGTGCTCCCCCCGCGGGGACACGTCATCAGGCAACTATTCACCTCCGAAAGAGCTGGTCAGCCCACCTACCAGAGATCACGGGACAGTTGAACTAGGGCGAAGACCCGTGCTGGTCTTCACTACGACACGTAAACCCTAGCAGTCACTTGGGTTGGGCCTGGCCATCCAGCCCAACGCAAGTGACCGTTGGCCCTACGTTGGAGTATCACTATCAATACCCTCTTTCACTAAAGGGTTGGGTATTCAATTCTCTACACCTAACTTTTGTACTTGCTCCCATTCTGGTCCCTTACTCACTTAAGCATCAGAGTGTCTTGCAGGTACACCCCCTCCTCCTCCCTACCTCCGGTGAGCAGCTTTCAAATCGACGACACGTGACGGCCAGCAATCTCTTCTGATCAGGTACGATTATATATATATATATATATATATATATATATATATATATATATATATATATATATATATATATATATATATATATATATATATATATATATATATATATATATATATATATATATATATATATATATATATATATATAAAATCTTTAATTTGTTATTTTTTTAACAATATTTTTTTAATACTTTTCATTAGTTATATAATTTATTACATCAAACCTAAGATTTTTGTGTTATTATATATTAATAAAACAAATTATAATTTTTAATTGAATATCAGAAATAAATTTAAAATTAGTCATATTAAATTTATTAGTATAAGAGTATTATTCAGACATCAAAAAGCACCATTTCTTAAAATTAATCATATTAAATTTATTAGTATAAGTAGCTCTTAAGTAAATTTATTATTCTGCTTCTTATATTAATAATTATTATTAAATAAAAAATAAAAGCACCATTTCTTATATTAATAACATATTTTATCATTTTTTTAAGACAATTAACTCATCTTCTTTCAATACAAATTTAATGAGTATAGAAACGTACTAATTTTACTTGAAAAGAAAATAAATTAAGGAATTAAATATACAATTATGAAGAATTATATAGATATAATTAAAATCTATCATATTATTATGGTTATTAATGTATGACAGGTGATATGTATTTTTTAACCGATGTACATAAGACAACTCAAGTGGGTAAAATTAACAATTTTAACAGGGTAATGAAGTCTTCCCTACTTATATTTATATTTCTTATAAAATAGTAAAGAAGCAACTAACATACCATTTAGAAAACTATGCATCAGCCACATGCTCACCATGTAACACCAAGCTGTATAATAACAGACAAATTTTATGACAGCAAAAATCTATAGCCGTAAATGCTTCCACTCAGTCCCTAATTGCACCACTGCAATTCAAACATTACAACCACTACAAGATACTCGAATCAATATCACATCAGCGCACCCACCACAACAATGCAGAAATTCTACACTAAAATTCCTCATAGAACAGTTACAATCCATCCCCCTGCAGACGAGAACAAAGCGCCGACGTGAGACTCCAACACAGCCTGCATCGAACTGTTATAAAAGATTCAGAAAAATTGCATCAATTCTGCTGACAGAACCAGACTCACATTCAAGCAAAAAAGAATTTCACACTGGCAGCCATGGTGACAATAATTTCAAACATCATAAATTAACATAACAGGTTAATTATTGAAGGACTTACTTTCAACCCGTCGTAACCAAGCTTTCGATATAATTTAGGGAAAACATCCACAAAACATTGTTTGTAATTCTAGTCTTTTCTACTCTATTATCTCTCCAATTATAGAGAAATGCCTGTTCTTCATGACTGTTTGCTAATACAATTGTTTCACCGTCCTCAGAAAGGCACAACGGGTACATCATATAGTCATAATTATACCTTCGAGAATCATAATCAATTTGAAGATCATCATAACTAATTTTAAGAAATTGAGTCCAAGACTCTTGGTCTCCGAATTCCATCATCATCCATATAACAAAATGGGTGCTCTCAATATGATATGAAAAACAAAGACAGTCCCTCAACACGGCAATAGTTGGCAAAATAGATGGGACTTCAACTAAACCTGAAGGCGGAAGCAAGTGGAGGTATGTCTCCATAGCCAGATCCAACGAAACAATCACAAATTGATCTATTCTCGGAATATCTTCGGCTTCGTATTTCCTCCAAAAATATTCAGAATTTGGAATGGCCAACCAGTTAACAGTGCCATTTAAATACACGCCTTCGTTCACACGCTGGTTTGTATGACGAACAATAGCGACATGATAGAAAGGAACTATTGGAAAACATTGAATATTTTTCCAAACATTATCACCAAAGGTGAAAATTTTCACCTGATTAGGACAATATGCCACTACCTTATAAGTGTCTGTTGATTTATCATAACCAAAGGCGAACCTGAGATAGTTAGATCGGTCTTCGTGGGAGTAATAAGCATGGCTATCTGGATGAGTAAGATTGCCTAAAAACTGAGATATTTTCTTGGTGGCGGGGTTCCAGAGACGAAACGAGGTGTTTCGATCACGAGAACCATATGGAGTAGAAGTAGTTATATAAGAATCAAACAAACAGAGCAATCCATTGATGGAACCGATAACTCGGAAGCAGCGTTTGTAGTTCAATCTGTACGAAGGGAGAACGGTGATGGTTATGGATGGATTATGAAGTAACCTGTTGAGAGGAAAGGGTACCACGGAACTGTCCCTATCGTAATAATAGGAAGCAGTACATGAATTCTTGCACAAGATCAGCGCCAGATGCATGTTTCTTTTTTGTGATTGTTGAAGTTGCTTTTCGATGAAGAAAGGATCGGAATCGAGGAATTCCCATGATTTGCAGACGCATTTGAATCGCAAAATAGATTTCACCGGAAGGCTTGATAGGACTTCTGAGATAAGTTCGTCGGGAAGGACTACGCGTGACATTTGAGCGTAGGTACACAAAGCCAACGAAGAAGATGGAGAAGGAGAGTTCAAGCACGATATGGCTTTTAAATTGAATAGGTTAATTGAATTTGGTCTTTGTATTTTCTGTCAAAAATATTTCCATTCTTTTCTTTGTATTTTCTAGCATTTTCATTCTTTTCTTAAGCATTAAGTTTAGTTTTTTATTTATTCATTGTTTTATTTACTTTATTTTTATTTTAAATTAAAAATTAAAGTTTTAATAATAATAATAATACATTTAAACTATTTTATTAGCATAGCTTTGGCTATTTTGGGAGTGATATGGGTCATGCTAGTGGCCGGCCGTGTAAACAGGTGGTTACGACTCCTCCGACGATGGTATGTGTTTTTTCACCATCGTCAAAGGCTCGAACAAAAAGTTCAAGTTCAACATGTGCTAAATTTAGCACATCGGAGATAATATTGTGTGAAACGAGTTCAACAACAAACCCAACGTTAGAGGTGATTACGAAGGAACATGGAAAACCTAACGAAGAGGATGGACAAACAGAAGAAGAATCAAAGCAACTACTGTCACTACGCCAGAAATGACATTTAGCAGCGCATACAAAGACAGCGCTTTTAGAAAAAGCGCTGCTAAAGAGGAATAAAAAAAAAGAAAAAAATTGATAACCAAAGACAGAGCTTTTTCAAAAAGCGCTGCTAAATGGGGGTCCTAAGACAGCGCTTCTAAAAAGCGCTGCTAAAAGGGGGGTCTAAGACAGCGCTTTTTAAAAAAAGCGCTGCTAAAGGGGGGTCCTAAGGCAGCGCTTCCAAAAAGCGCTGCTAAATGGGGGGTCTAAGACAACCCAAAGACAACGCTTTTCTAAAGCCCTGCTGTAGGTCTGGTCTACGAGAGCGCTTTTTCCATAAAGCGCTGCTATATGGGTTACATTAGAAGGTCTTTGAGAGCGCTTTTTAAAGCGCTGCTAAAACTATTAAAAAGCGCTGCTATAGGTTTATTAGAATTAATTTATAATACCCATCAGAATTTTTATGAGAAACAGAACAGTCATATTACGTATTTCTTTCTTTCTTTTTCTCTGGCGAATAAAGAGCGTTGCCCTATAAATCACCGTTGCCGTCCAACCGTCGCCCTCCTCTGTTGCATTTCGCAGTCGTTCACCGTCCCTCTGCTCGTCTGCATTGCATTTCCGCCATTGTTACGGTATTTGAAGTTTTACTCTGGTTTTCTTTTTTACATATATTTTCGCCATTGTTTGTGATAACTCTCTGCATTGTTGTAATCTTTAAGTAGGACTGAATATGTTTTTATTATTTGAATGCAATCAAATTAAGTAGAACTGAATATGTTTTCACCATTGTTGCTGTAATCTTTAAGTAGAACAGAGAGTTTATATTTGAGAGTTTATATTTGAGAGTTTAGATTTGAGAGTTTATATATGAGAGTTAAGTATTTGAACTGAATATGTTTTCTACAAGAGTTTATATTTTGTATGTTTTAAGAGAGTTTATAAGAGAGTTTTGTTTGTGATAACTGTTTGGTCATGAAATGTTTAAGAGAGTTTATAAGAGTGTTTTTAAGAGAGTTTTTAACCATTGTTTGAGAGAGTTTCAATGTTTAAGAGAGTTTCACCATTGTTTGTGATAACTGTTTGGTCATGAAAATGCAATGTTTATAAGAGAGTTTTTAAGAGAGTTTTATATGTATAAGAGAGTTTTTAAAAGAGTTTATATTTTTTAAGAGACTTTTATATGGATAAGAGAGTTTTATATGTATAAGATAGGTTTGAAAGGGGGGGGGGGGGGGGGGTCTAAGACAGCGCTTGTAAAAAGCGCTGCTAAAGGGGGGGCTATGGCAGCGCTTTGTAAAAGCGCTGCTAAAGGTGGGCTCTAAGACAGCGCTTTGTGAAAGCGCTGCTAAAGGGGGGATGGTTGGGGGAAATATGCAGCGCTTATAAAAGCGCTGCTAAAGGGATAAAAAAAGCGCTGCTAAAGGTGCTGCTGAAGGGAGCCTTTAGCAGCGCTTTTTCCATGAAAAAAAGCGTTGCCTTTACCTTTAGCAGCGCCACTTTTGGCAGCGCTTTAAAGCGTTGCTAAAGGTCTTTTTTAGCATAGTGCATGGATGGACATCATTAAAGGGAACCGCTTTCCATCTATTAGAGTTGTTATAGATTACATTCCACCAATGATAGTAGATGGGGAAGTAGAAGCAAACATAGATGAGCAAGATATAGCCTCTAAATTTGAATTTTTGGGAGAATGCTTTGGTTATGTATGTGATGGGAGAAAATCTGTCTATGAATGCTGCTAAAAATTTCATGATTAAGATCTGGAATTTTGTAGCCTTGCCAAACTTGTATTATAATGAAGAGGGTTATTTCATTTATCACATTTGTATCAGATATTGATAAAGATTTGGTGATGAGAAAGGGACCTTATACTATCCACCTGAAGCCTATGTTTCTACATAATTGGACACCTGATTTTACCTTGAAGGAAGACATGATTAGAGTTTTACCCATTTGGGGTCACTTTTCCCCAATTACCACTTGCATATTAGGGGAAAGGGGCATTGGAAAGATAGCAAGTGCTATAGGTAGGCTATTAATAACTGACGAATGCACTGCTAAGAAATCATGAGTCTCATATGTTAGAGTCTTGATAGAGGTTGATATAACAGTTGATTGAAGAACCAAATCATTATCAAAGGGCCAAAGGGTGCAAAAATGTGCCAAGATGTGGAATATGAATGGAAGGATCCTTTTTTCAAGAAGTGCAATAAGGTTGGGCGCATGTGTGTTAAAAGATGGCGCAGATCTAGAAGGGGGGGGGGGGAGGTTGAATAGATCACTTGTTAAAAACAGAGTCGGCGCTTACCAATATTTGGTTTTAAAAAGTTTTTAGGCGGAAGCGGCTGAGGAACTATATTCGTCTAAAACGAACCTTTATCGAAAAGACCAGATATACGCAAAGCCTATGAGATCCGATAAAAACGAGATTAAGAATCACTAATTTGAACACACATCAACCAGAATTTATTCACTATGAGGTTGGACTTTTTCCAATGCTTATAAAGTATAACTAAATTGAAAAGACATCACAAATATTTGTTGTTCACACAATTAGTCAAACACTTGGTGTGCAAGGCACCACAAGTAAATTCCAATATGTGAGTGAAGTGGTTAAGTGTTCAATTACAATCAAGAATTATAATAAGCTTCTAAAAATAGTTCAATGCTACACACATCAAAATTTAGATCAACTAAATTGTTTGCATACAAACTCAGAAATTAAGCAATTGAAAAATAAAAAGAGAACACCAATTTGTTGAGGCAGCTCCCCCGTCGTCCTCGTTCGGGGTACGTCTGCCCTCAATTCTAAAAATAGAATTGATATATATATATATATATATATATATATATATATATATATATATATATATATATATATATATATATATATATATATATATATATATATATATATATATATATATATATATATATATATATATATATATATATATATATATATATATATATATATATATATATATATATATATATATATATATATATATATATATATATATATATATATATATAAAACCTGTTTGCAAATGTTTACAAGAAAAGCAATAGAAATCAAACGATCAAACCCAATTGTTGATGCAGAGCCTATTCCTTTTCTTCCCTTGATTCAAGCTGAATCAAGTCCTTCGAACGTGACAAATAAACCTTCGATTACGTCTCACCCTTTGAACAACCCTATGGTCTTCAAATCTTACCCGAATGATTTCAATCACCAACGCTTCAAACCCGCATCTTCCTCTTACAATCTTCCGGTTACTGCTACTAAACCGACAGAACCACCCGTTCTTCGATTACCTTTGCTCGGCTGAATCTGTGATGGACTGATTCGTGCAAACCCCCCCCCCCCCCCCCCCCCAAATTCTAATATTCTTAGAGGACAAAACCCTAACGATTTTATTCAAGAAAAACCCACTGATTTCTCAACTCAAACCTAATTACACCAATCCTATGTTTGAACGTTATCACCTTAAAAATACAGAATGCACAACAAAAATGATTATATGTAGTTGTTGAGAAAGTGCAAGAAAGAGGATGAAGATGCTGAGAACAAAATCAGTGTCTATTTTCACTTTTCTTATTTTTCGTTGAAGAAAAAGCTAACTCAATATATACATAAGTCAAAAACAATTAACCAATTTAACAAACACTTTGACAGTTTCACATAACAGAAATTTAGTCAAAATGCGCGAGCGGTCGACCTATACATATGGAAGCGTCGACCTAAACTCACCCGAATTTCAGATAGTTCAGAAAACAACACTTTTCATCGACCGGAACAGATCATGCTTCAACGCAAAGCATACACAATTAGACAGATAGAAATGAACACAGTATGAGTTAACCGGATGGTCGACGCAAGCACTCTTGAGATATAGATGGTTATAACTCAAAACTTTGTAAAGCAACTTGGGAGATCATTGGCACTGATGTAAAAGCATCTATATACGATTTCTTTGAGCATGAGAGACTGTATAAAGCAGTAAACTGTGCCTTGGTAACTTTGATTCCTAAAACATCCAATGCAAGGACAATGAAAGACATGAGACCTATTGCTTGTTGCACATCATTAGACAAGATTGTCTCTAACATTCTCAGATCTAGATTAAGCAAAGTCATAAGTTATATGGTATATGATAGTCAATCTGCTTTTGTACCAGGAAAAGTAATTCATGATAATATCATTATTGCACATGAGCTGCTCAGGGGATATACTATCTCTCCTAGATGTGTTATTCAGATGTACCAGGAAAAGTAATTCATGATAATATCATTACCGCGTACCCAAAATTTTTAACTTTTTTTTATATGACATAATTTTTGGTTTTTTTTATCAAGTAAAATTTAGGTTAATTATTCTATTTATTCACTCATTGAAAATAAATAGGCTAAATCTAAATAGGGTTAATGATTTAGTTTTTGTTC